CTGACTCAATGGGGAGGGAAGCAGAGGAGGAGGAGGGGGGGGAGGAGGAGGAGGAGGAGGAGGAGGAGGAGGAGAAGAGGAGGAGGATGAAACGGAGAAGAAGAAGAGGAGGAGGGGGAAACAAAGAAGACGACGACGACGACGACGAAGAAGAAGAAGAAGAAGAAGAATCTGACACCGAAGAGGAAAAAACAAAAATCGCTATGGCTATGTTGGGTAGGGGGGGGTTATGGCTCTGACTCAACGGGGAGGGAAGCAGAGGAGGAGGAGGAGGAGGAGGAGAAGAGGAGGAGGATGAAACGGAGAAGAAGATGAGGAGGAGGGGGAAACAAAGAAGAAGACGACGACGACGACGACGACGAAGAAGAAGTAGAAGTAGAAGAAGAAGAAGAAGAAGAAGAAGAAGAAGAAGAAGAAGAATCTGACACCGAAGATGAAAAAACAAAAATCGCTATGGCTATGGCTCTGCCTCAACGCGGAGGGAAGCAGAGGAGGAGGACGAGTAGGAGCACTAGAAGAAGAAGAAGAAGAAGAAGAAGAAGGAGGAGGATAGGACGAGGAGGACAAGAAGAGGAAAAAGGAAGAATCTGATACGAAAGATGAAAAAAAAAAAAATCGCTATGGCTATGGCTCTGGCTCAACGGGCAGGGAATCAGAAGGGGAGGAGGAGGCGGAGGAGGAGAAGAAGAAGAAGAAAAAGAAGAGGAGGAGGAGGAGGAGGAGGAGGAGGAGGAGGAGGAGGAGGAGAAGAAGAAGAAGAGGAGAAAGAACGGAGAAGAAGAAGAAGAAGAAGAAGAGGAGGAGGAAGAAGAAGAAGAAGAGGAGGAAGAAGAAGAAGAAGAAGAAGAATCTGACACCGAAGCTGAAAAAAAGGAAAAAATCGCTATGGCCATGGCTCTGCCTCAACGCGGAGGGGAGTACAGGAGGAGGAGGAGGACAAGAAGAAGAAGAAGAAGAAGAAGAAGAAGAAGAAGAAGAAGAAGAAGAAGAAGATAAGAAAGATGAAAAAACAAAAACAAACCGCTATGGCTATGGCTCTGGCTCAACGGGGAGCGAAGCGGGGGAGGAGGAGGAGGAGGAGAATAAGAAGAAGAAGAGGACGAGGAGGGAAAAAGATGAAGAAGAAGAGGAGGAAGAGGGAAAAAACTGATGAGGACGAGGACAAGGAGGAGGACGAGAAGAGGAAGAAGAAGGAGGAGGAGGAGGAGAAGAAGAAGAAGAAGAAGAAGAAGAGGAGGAGGAGGAGGAGGAGGAGAAGAAGAGAAGACGAAGAAGCAGAAGAAGAGGAGGAGGAGGAGGAGGAGGAGAGGGCGGTGTAAAAGAAAACCACGAAGAAGAAGACAAGAGGAGAAGAAGCATCAGCAGCAGCAGCAGCTGCAGCAGCAGAAGAAGAAGAAGAAGAACGTCAAGAAAAGAAAAAGAAAAAAAAAAGAAACTAAACTGCCGGACCTACCTTCGCAGCTATGGGGGGCGTTTGCAATGAAGCGGGCTGGCTGGGAGAAGCAGCTGCAGGGCTATGTCGATGGCGGGCTGGAGACAGGGCGCTGGCGCTGGTTATGTTGTCGCAGCACACGACGTCGACGTGCATGCTGAATGGCGCGACGTCAATGTCGCGTGCTGCTGCACAGACTGGGGCAGGTGGGGCCAAGGCAGCCAAAAGCAGGCCACGAGGAGGTTTGAAAACGCGGCCGATTTCGTCCGCAGATCCGTAGATCTGCGGGTCGAAATCGACCCTGTTTTCAAATTCGAAAACGGGGCCCTACCGGACCCCGTTCTCTTCAGAAAACGCGCGGCTGATCTCCACCCTCGATCTGCACTGATCGGCGCAGAGATTGGCCGTTAGTTTTCTTAAGAAAACGGGGTCCGGTAGGCCCCAGTTTTCTTTCGAAGTGGTGGCGGCGGCCTCCCAGAGGCTGGGCGGGGATGGGGACGCCCGAAAATCCCCAGTACCCCCCCCCAAACGCAGTGCGCCCGATTGAACTGGGGGCCTGCCGGGCTGGTGAAACGCCTGGTCCGACCGGCAGGCTCCCGGTCGGTCGAAGGTCCCCCGGTCCATCTGGGGACCAGCACTGTTTATAATTTTATTTTTTATTTCAGATTTGGTAAAGAATTTGGATGTGACCCTGAGGCAGAAATTGTTCAGTTCACTTTTCTGCATAACATTGTTTTTTTTCCAGAATTTATTTTTTTCCCGTGGGACCTTCTATGGTCCTTGCATGGCCGGGCCGCCCGGGCAAACAAGGTGCACCGGGCGGCCCGGCTGGTAGAGTAGCTAAAAAACAGTTTTTTTCTTTTCTTTTCAAAAAACAGACAAAGAAACAATCAAACAGCAACGGCAAACAGAACAGGCAGCCAAATAAATAACTCAACAGATCATGAACGAACAAAAAGTTAGAAAGGCAACAACACACTGTGCACGAAGGAAACAAAGAGACGAAGCTAAAGTTTTTGCCCTTGGATGATGTTTTGACATTTGCAGACGTGAAGTAAAGTGAATGAGCAGAATCATGTCCTACGTTGCTGCGGTGAATGGCGTTGACTTTCTATGGCGCTGTCTTTCTGGAATTTAATAGCTTTCCTCGGCCGTCTTTCATTTATCCTTCTAAAGGTCACGTGATTCCAGAAGGTCAACATCATAGAAAGTCAAGGTTTGATTGTAGGAGAGGAAGGAGCTTACCATGGTGATAGTACGATGGACCTCGCTCCACTGCACAACACTCTATATCATACTTGCAGTGCATCGCGTGCACGCCACTCACGCACATGCGGCGCACTGCGCATTGCGCATGTGGCGTGTGCACCCAGTGCGCCGCAAAGGCAACATTCAGCGTCAGCCAAAAAAAAAAAAAGTCAGGGAGCCAAAATTAAGACATTGCCTGCGCAAATTGGGCCCACGCTACCCGAAAAACTGTGTTGTCATGTTTGCTGTACACAACTCCATGCTATCTTCAGTGTATCTGAGTCCTTTCCGAGGTCCATTACAGCCATAAGGAACACTAACCACTTAGGGTTAGGGTTGGGTTGTTAAGGGAAGTGGGGCAG